ATGACCATATTTTGTTACAAATGCTGTTTTTGGTATGTCTTCAGCCTTAACTCTGACTTGATGATATCCTGCTGTCAAATCCAGAGTGGAAAACATTGAAGCTCCTGCAACGGAATCTAGACAGTCTTGAATTCGTGGTAGTGGGAATGCATCCTTAATTGTTAAATTATTTACTGCTCGATAATCCACACAGACTCTTATTTTTCCATTCTTCTTTCTAGCTAAGACCAGTGGAGAGGACCAAGGTGATGTAGAAGGTTGTATTATGCCCCTCTCTCTAAGGTTCAGAATGGCATCTCTCTCCTCATTGGCTAGTGCTATTGGAACTCTACGAGGTGGCTGTTTTACAGGTTTACTGTCACCAGTATTAATCTCATGTTCAACTAAATTGGTTTGTCCTAGGTCCCATTCATCTTTTGAAAATGCATCCTGATGGTCGAGCAAGAATTTCCGAAAAGCTTCTTTTTCTGACTTATTTAAGGACTGGGAAGAGCCGTCGTACAGCTCACGTAAATGATCTGGAACCTCACATGCCTCTCCAGGCGAAAGTTCAGTAGATCGGCAAAGGCTTCTTAGGTCACTATAAACCGGTCGAATTACATCTACTATTCCCCCATATCCTTCAACAGTACCCACTACTGTGTCTGGATAAAGCGTTTTTCCTTCATCAAAAGGGTTCATAACTCTCAGGGGTACACTCAGTTTCCCTCTGATGTTAAGAACTGCTGGGGCTAACAGTAAGGAGGTCTTCTCCATAAGATCTCCACTTGGCACAAACATAAGGTCCTCCTCAACATCAACCTCACATTCACGCTGTATAAAAGCCGGTATTATTACTTCTGTATTCCCGGGTATATCACATCTCTCCACACAACGGAGGGTAATATCTTTATGCACACCACGTTGTATGCATGGAATATCATGACCTTTGAACCTTATCAGTCCTTTACTCAGGAGAATATCTGCTTCACCAATATCACTATTCTGCAGGATGTCCACTCCAAGTAACACTTCATCTTGGATATCAGCTACTAAAAGGTTTTTCTTGAGGGTCAAGGAACCAAGTTGCAAATCAAACGCTCCTTTCCCATAAACATGAATGGAACTTCCGTCAGCTCCTCGTAAGTGCGACTTTCCTTGAAGTCTGGGTCTGTTCACCTCTTTGAGTTGTTCATACACTTTGTATGAAAGTATAGTATTGGATGCACCAGTATCTGTTGTAATGTGGACATCTAAACCATTTACGTTTCCTTCTATGTACACACCATCTACATCTGGTATTCGATTAGAAATAAAACAAAAATCTTCTGACTCATCAAAATTATCTGGTTGTCGGTCTGTTGGTGGGTCTAAACTGTTCGTCTGTCTGTCAGTTTCTTCTGTAGCCGGTCCTTGACCCACAGGAACGGCTAATGCCTGTTTAAAGGTGCCTTTGATACTTGAAGGTCATTAATTCTCTTTGGGCAGTCCCTTATGAAATGACCTTCAGCTTTGCAGTAAAAACAGCTATGTTTCTGTGGTCTGTCCAGAGGAGCCATTTGACCCGAAGACATGTCTGGTTGAGATGTACCAATAATAGGCCTACTTGGCTGTGTCCCAGTGTTGCTCTGCTTAGTCAGGTTGCTGAGAACTTTTGCCATCTCATCGACTTGTTTCTGCAAGGCTTCGATAGTGCCAACTGATGCTTGTTTGTTTCCTTGGCCGTACTTTACATTTCTGATGCGCTTCTTTTTCATCGACTTGTCTTTAGTGACTGTCTTAGATGAGGCCTCAGATCCAGAATCACTGTACAGCGACTTCACCTCTCTGACATGTTTCTTAGTTGAAGGCCGACCTGCTTCTTCATAATTTATAACCTGTCGTACAGCTTCATGTATATCTGAGGGGTCCTTGACGTATTCTACATGAAATTGGGCTTCTCTGTCAGCCAGACCATCTAAAAATTTCCTGAGCAAGTCTTCCTCTCTAGTCTTTGAGTCTCGCTCTGGGTGGGCTTTGACATACAGGCGCTTCAAATCAGCAGCAAAGTCCTCGACTCGCTCACCAGGCTTCTGAACTCTGTTATTAAATTTTGACAGATATGTACGACTGGTTTCGATTGCACGAAAACGATTGGTCAGTTCCTTTGTAAGTCTCTTATAACTACTTCTGGACTCTTTCGATAATTGGCCGTAAACAAAGTCAGCAGCATCTTCATGTAATCTGGGCAGTAATTGGTCCAGTTTGTCGTCTGTTGTCCAGTGGTATCTATCTGCAACTTCCTCAAATCGACAAAACCAGACAGACCAATCTTCTTTCCCTGTGTATGGAGGAATCTTTACATTGTGATGCTTAGCCCTTTTCCGGTACACAAAGTCAGACTGTGATGTTTCTCTGTCGCTACTCAAACACTCGTGAGACGTGCTACATGTATCTGATTGTCTGTTGTCAGGGTTGGTCCTTTGGTGGTTATCTTGTTCAGAGAGCTGTTTAATTTTCTCTTGTAAATGCTCTACCATCTCCGTAAGCTGGACAAGTGCAGTTTGCTCGCTTTCTGTCCTTGATATATCTCGTGCACTTCTCATGGGAGCGGAAGTCTGATTCAGCATCACAGGTACAGAACCTGTACACAAACTCACAGGCACAGAACCTGTACTTAGACCAACAGGTACAGAACCTGTACATGTACATGAGCTTACAGGTACATTACCTGTACTAGAACTTACAGGCACAGAACCTGTACACAAACTTAGAGGTAAATGAGTCCTCGCGCAAACGTTGTGACCTGGTGTTGTAATTGTGGGGAATGGAGTAAACATATGGGCGCTCTGGTTTTGTTGACAATAAACAGGACCTTGAAAACTCACAGTACAAGGAACTGCATAAGAGTTTACAGGTAAGGTAGTGTGGTAATTTGAACCTGTACATGAACTCAAAGTGCTGTGTTTATGAGAGTTCACAGGTAACCCATATACTGGACTTGCTGTCTGCGTAATGGAGGGGCTCATGTGAGTACCTGTACTGGGGACTGCAGGTACATACATACTAGGGACAGCTGTCGGCTCTCTAGGAAAACCTGTACACAAATTCTCAGCAAAATGTGAGCAAACAGGTACAAAAGGCATCTGAGTTGTGGGACCACAGGTGTGAAGATGGCTCATTTTAGGCGTAACTACACTGTTTGTTGTCTGTGGCTGCTCTGTAGTGGTACTCACAGTTACAGAAACTGTATCTGAGTTCCCAATAAAAGGTGTAGGTTCTCCATCTCTCACAACGTCTGCCTGAGAACTCACAAGCATTAAACTTGTATCTGAGTTACGTAAAAATTGAGAGGCTTCTTTATTTGAATGAACAAGTGGTTTAGTTCTGTGCATGTCAGCTCCTTCACACGGAAATTCACATTCGCTTTCATTTTCTCTTACAGTATCTACAGAGGAACACGAAACTCGTGAGGTAGGTCTGGATTCTTGAAGACCACGACGTTTCCGTCGACTTCTACGTCCTGCCATTGTGATTTATTTTTATTTGATTTGCTTAATAAAATTTTTGTTTCTCAAACACAGACAAAGCGTTGTTATGATTCGATCACAGGACCCGTAAATTTAAACGGATCATTTGATCACAGGACCCGTAAACTTAAACGGATCCCGCCGTGGATGCCAAAATTGTAACGCTTCGGAACGCCTGCCTTGTGTTGAGAACAAAAACTTTGATGTAAAGTTTTATAATTTTATTCAGTAATACATGAACAGCGAAAATAAATAACAATGTTTGAAATTCACACAAGTCTCAACCCTCGGGACATAGATCTAAGACCAAAATCAGTACAACTACTGATATAGAACTGGGCAACTGGCACTATTTCCAGTAATTTATGATTTAAGTAAATTCCCCCGACCAAAATAAAACGTAAAGGCTCTCTATAAATGACTTATAATTAATTTACAAATAAATATTCCCGCTACTAGTACAACTACTAGCACGCTGCAGAAATATTTCCTAACTCCTAAACTGGGCTAAAGAAGATAAAAAAAATAACTAGTTCACAACTAGTAATTATAAATAAAACTAGTACAATTACTAGTAATATGAATTTAGCCTAACCTAACATTATGTATTATGTACTTCAGTCACAAAGATACTGAAATAGTACACACCTTAAATTACTCTGGACAAAACTGGCAACCTTTCTCTAGGTCACAAAGAAAACAAGAGAGCAAACGATATTCAGCATCCGAGTATTTATAGAATTAACAAAACCCGCAATAATTCATAACCAATCATAACTAATAATTCCATCCCGTAAATAATAATCAGCCAATCAAATATAATCATCGTCCCGTAACGAAATCTCACTCTCGTACATCGTATGTAAAATTATTACAAAACAAAAATAAATTAAATAAATTCATAAAACATAAAGTTACACTTTTAAAAGCTCATTTAACACTGTTTAACATTTAATTTAAAAGAATTTACAATCAAATCTTCCGCCGAAATAACTCCAGTAAAAATAGATCACCGTGAAGCATCACGGGAAAATACACAAGTAAACAAAGTATGGCGGCGGCAGAAGTTTCAGTGAAACGTGTGTACTCGAAGACCATTAAACATCGATCACACAAGAAATAAGGTAACTTTAAGATAATCCTGAATTACAGCGCAACTTTATAATTACGTATGTACAATTAAGCCAACAAAAAGCGTGTAATTAAATAGCAAGACGATGTCTGACATTCAACACATCGAAACACAAGAAAAATGGCATAGATCATCGCTGCATTTAAGCAGTTGTCAACCGACATTTAAGACATAACTCTCGCTGGACATTTCAACATTCCATACAAGAATTGATGAATGAATTTAAAGCATGCATGAAAGTGCTTTAGAAAAATACTAAGATAAAAAAAAATGAGATTCAAGAAAAATGGGGGAGGGATCGTTACATTACTAATACTTTTAGCGTAGCTTATGTTTCAATATTTTGACTTATATTGAAAGATTAAAGGTTTCAATTGAATGACGTCATAATACCAATGACATCACACTATAAATGTCGTCATAATTCCTTTTGCATCAATCTTGGTTACCGTTTTGTTGTATATTCTCTTTTGTTGTTCGTTGTACAATTAAACAATGGCAAGTTCATCGACGGTAAGTTGTGAGAAAAATTCTGAAATTCTCTCATTAATTAAACTCTAAACTTTTAAGTAACCGACTTATATATGATATCATTTAATTCTAATCTATATACCAATATACTAGTATACTCCGTGACAATTAATACATGTAATCATATATATTTTACATTATCAAAATTAAACTGGTTGTAGATAGTGCGCAGCATCCTTGAGGAGGTCATTTCCAAGGTTTACAGACATTGTAGTACTGAGTACAGGTATGTAAAAGATTTTTTTTTTACAGACACTATACTTATATTTTTGATTTACTAGCGTCTGTTACAAATAATTCACCAATTCTATTTTTAAGTACATAGTTCTGGAGATTAAAGCTTGTTTAATTTGTTTCTTCCTCTCAGCGTTGCCAAAAAACAGAAAAATATGTCCACCGCTTTACTCGGAGCTTCTGATGAAAAAATAATTGCAAAACGTGATATCTACCAGGAGCAGACCATAGAAGCAAAGAAGGTAAAATAAAAGTACTAATCAAATACAGCTTAACATTTTGTTTAAATGACGATGAATGTACTGTGCTTTCCTTGGAGAACAAGATATCGCTTTACCATAGAAAGCACCATTTTTTCCTACCAGGAATAGCAATATTTTTACTCTTTGAAATCTTTGAGTGCGGAGGAGCTCAATTGAATTATATATAATTGTAATTTATTATAAATCAACAGATATTCCGCAGAGTTGCCCGGGAGACGGTCCGGGATTTGATTATTCTAGCTACCAGACAGGCTGCCACAAGGTAAATGATTTATAATTGAAAATGGTACATTCTTTAGATTAAATTCCTTTGTCTTTCTAATCCGTATATAAGACAACAAATATTCGTACATTTCAAGAGTAAATTGCATGTACAGTTTAGTGCATGTTTAAAAATATCATACACTGTATATGTTGATTTTTTTTCTTTTGCTTTTAGCTCAAACAATGGACAGTTGACTAAAACTGCCCAATTCCGATTCGCGTATGATGAAGCACAAAAGAATGCACACAGGGTGCACAGAAAGAGAGTGAAAATACAAAAGGTATCTTTTGATCAGAAAAATATATTATAATTTTTTTCAAATATCTATAAATTTTTATTATATTTATTATATTAGACGCACACACTGAATATAATTTTCTCCTGTAATGCTAATTAAGTGCTTTGTTTTAACTTTCAGAATCTGCAGGTTAAAGTCACGATTGGATCAGAAATTGTCCAATACACACTCAGATGCCCGGCCAATCGTGCAATTGTTGCAGAAGGAAACATGGCGGCGATACAGAAATCTAATGAAGCCCAAAGGGAAATAACCGCAAAGGCAAAGGTATAAAAGTTATTTGTATGCTGAATTCATTGGAAATGCATTCTTCTAAATGTAATTTATCTCCTTAAATTAAATATTCTTCATACTCGGAAATAATTTTGCCGATATATAGTATTATGTAGAAAACATACAGTACACACACAGAAAGCGTACAGTACTGAAATATATGGCTGTGCCCCCCCCCCTCTCTCTCTCTCTCTCTCTCTCAATTCGAAATAATATTGCTCCCTACGTATGTATGGACCTGTTCTTTGTAAATTATAAGGATGCATCTGTATATGCATCTTTATATACAGTTGAAATCCGTTTTCACGAATTACGTTATTTCGAACCCTGATATCTCGAATACCAGAGATATTTCGAAATCGGGTTGACAGTCCCAAACATGTTTTCTTCATATTAAAACCCTCATGATTTAAATCAATGTTAGGCTATTCCGAATTATGTTTCATACAATATAGATAGAGATAACGAAGTTTGAATATATTACAGACGTTTATACATTTGAAAAACGAAAGCTGAGATTAAAATTAATTGATTTTCATCACCTACAGTATAGAGATTACACTTATATTTTTTCCTTGACAGTCATTGTACACAGCTGTAGAGAAAACTGCTAACGATCCGATGATTCAAGCATCACGTGACTGCAATATTCCTGGGTATGTATATGTTTCTCGTATAACTGGATCATTTTATTTTCATTAATTGTTATACTTCAAAAATTCCAGCTGAAGGATATAAAAATAAATACGATAATCTTGTCCTTGGCTGTATAGAAGGATGAAAAAAAAACATTTTACTTCTATTGACACTTTCATTTGAAATTGAGCCAAAGAAAGGGGATTATAAGCAATAATTTGTCTACCTATTTACTAAATTATTTCTATTTACAGACCTGCTGTAGTTGATCTAAATGAGCCAGCCCCGGTACAATACAACGACAGCTTAACGACATCATCTGCACCAGATGCAAACAATGAAATAGTACGTGTTTCACTATTTGAATTACATTATGTAGCTATTTTGAATGTATTATTTATTATTTTTATTCTTTTGTAATGGTAAAGTGAAATTAAGGAAAACAATAATGAAACTGCAACAAAAAAGTTCAATCTCCCATTCAGAGTTGTCATTCGTACCTCTGCAATGGGCTCACGTCAAGATTTTTGACATAACGTATAAAACGTGATATTTGCAGTATTTTCTTTAATTAAGATAATAGTTCTGGATTTATTTAGTAAATATCAATCTCAAAACACAGACATAATCATAGAAATTGAATTATAATGAATTAAAACAAACGCACTATTTCTCGTGTTTATCACTGTGATATACGCGAGCCAACGACAGAGGTGAATGTATGAGCCGACGGTAGAGAGTGAAAGAAGATACTATGTATTTTTTTTTTTACTTATAGGAGGACGATCCCGAGCCAAAAGGCTGGAGAAGATTACTGTGTTGTGGCAAACCACTGAAAAAACAGGTAAACCGTCCTCTTCCTATCATTTTCCTGTTACTTGTTCTGGAGTAAAACAGGTACTGCAATTATACGTTTGTAAATAGTATTAATTTATATATATACCTGAGTATTCTTTTTTTCAACAGGCGAAAGAAAAGAAGTTGGGATTGCTGAACAGACTGCGAGGATTTTTCGTCCGTCGATAAATTATCTGAAAGTTGAATTTAGTTGATGCCAAGTTTATCAGTAGAAGATTTTTGAAGAAAACCTTTGATTCAAAAGATATATATGAATTTGACAATCCTCTTGCTATTACCATCATTTTGAAAAGTGTAAGATGTGAAGTTTATCGTTTTTTATTAAAGAAGAGAAAGACATGAACGTTTTGTTTTTTTTTAAATAAATTAATTGATATATTCTTGTGGATGTCTTTGCTTGTTTTTTTTCTTCTAAAATGCTTTCCTCGAGAGTTACATTTAATGAACATCAATCACAGAAAGGTACGATGCGGGTCAAGGACACAGTTTCCCCATCCACTTAAATTTTCCAGACATAAGAAATTCTTATATTACTAAAGAAATTGTTCATACAGAGCCCGTTTGCTCCTCTCCCTTCTTTTGGTTGCAGTATTGTCAGATAAGATTAATATAAAAGTAATTTAGATAATTTTCGTTCTTAAAGTCCGAGATAATAAGCACCTCCCTCAGATTTACCTGGTCTGTATCCCCCTGTCAATCAAATAAATTAAGGTCCATCATTGGGTACTTGAAATTGATTGACATTTAGCTACTAGTTCCTGTGTATATCCTTTCACCTTGTTTGACACGCGTGGCCACCACCAAATTAACTTTTGGTCTTCTGATGTTTACCGCTAAATAACCATCGCAACAAGGAAGCCATAGCGATGCAAATAATTTCAGCTTGATTATAATTAATTAATTATATGTATTACAAACATGTCATTATAAAATGAATTTTTATCTCCTTGTTTTTTCAATAAATAAATCAAGATTGTATATTTTTACTATTGAAAATTGTATTGGTGAATGAAATCTTGTTTTCACTCGCAAAGGCGCTCCCCATGTAAATCTGTAAATGACGAAATGTGAGTATATATAGGTCTATCCCCTCTATACCATAAAATAGAGGGTAGAGCTATATATACTTATATTTCGTTATTTACAGATTTACATGGGGAGCGCCTATGGGTTGCTCAAATAAATCGAAACGCTGTGAAAAATTCGTACCCCTTCCTGGATATGAAAAAAAACAATAGAATTGAGTCAATATGAGACAATCATGTCCCTGTTTTTTTTCTGCACATATGTCAACTCTTATAACTTTGCGAAAATGAATAGATAAACAAAAACAGAAAGGAAAATCTTCGTTTCACTATTACATGTAGTTAAAGAATGATTCAAAACTATCGACAATCGCTCCTAATTTAAAGTTTAAATAATTTAATTTAACCCCCAGTGAGACCGTTGACATAATATATTTATGATGAAAACTTAATAACCTCTTCACTTTTATTGGTGCCACCTTGTATATCTTATTCTAATGATAAAAGCAAGTTTTTCGATCTTGACTAATGTTTTTTTTAATATCTAGTCTGGTTTTAAGAGTGTTTAAGGAAAGTCTTAATAAATACTAATAAAAGTGGGTTTTTTTTATTTTGAGAGTTTTTAGAGCTTCCTAAAATCGTTAGAATCCACGAGCAGATCAGCTGGGGTCACAGAGCGTTTCTCCACCCTGTCATTTTTTGTGCCTATACGCACATTGCATGACATGGAACCTATCCAAATTAAAAATGCTTAATGATAATATATCCAAAGATCCATAGCCTATCGACAACTTTATTCTCTTGAAAAACAAATTTTATGACCTCGAAACAAACTTAAAAAGAAAATAGTAACACTTTAGTATGTGTGTGTGTGTAATTTGCAATTTATCATGTTTTTTCCGTTTCCCATTAAAGAAAGTATATCTGATCAATAAATACCATTAAAAAACATATGATATGAGAGGTGAATATGTAACTTTATTTTTAAAGTAAATTTTTATCCATGGTTGGTTACAAAGAAAAAACTTGAAAAGGAGAAAAATTAGAATGAGAGAAAGATTGTCTGAAAGGAATCATTGCTTTGAATGCAGCATCTGAAAAAAATTAAAAATTCCATAATTAATATAAAATAATTTCAACAAATTGAGAGCTGTCTTTATTCCAGGCAAAGTTATACATGAAGTACGCGTTAAAAGGTATTCATATAAATGAACACCTTTTAATAATTGTGAAAGCGTATTATGTGTAGATTAGAACATGTAGATTCAACATTGCAGTTAAAGTAATTCATAGCTCAACAATATTAATACCGCTTTGCAAGTGACTAGTGGTGGAGATTTTCAATTTTTTTTCGGGGGGGGGGGGGATGGGGTGGGGTGGGGGGGGTTAAACACAGTTACAGAAACAATGGACATAAGAGAGCAAAGAAATCCGGGTGAAAGCCTTAAGGAAGCCCAGCGTCCAACAAGATCCCTTGTGACACCCAAACAATCATTCACAATCGGACACTAGAATGTGAGAACAATGTATAGAGGAGGAGCTTCAGCACAGATTGCAAGAGAAATGGAAAGATACCAACTGAACATTTTAGGAATCAGTCAGTGCAGATGGACAGGAGCTGGGAAGATGAGACTGGCCTCGGGTCAGACCGTCATATACAGCGGGAATGAAGAATTGCATGAGGGAGGAGTTGCAATAATGATCAGCCAGCAGGCAACGAAGCCACTCATGGAATGGACACATGCCAGTAAGAGAATCACGACAGCACGATTCTATTCAAGGTACAGGAGAGTGTCAGTGATCCAAGCATATATGCGCCACATAATGAAAAGGAAGAGGAGGAGTGGGAACAATTCTAACAGGAGTTACAAGAGACCCTGGATGGGTGCAATAAGAACGACATCATTATTATCATGGGGGATCTTAACGCAAAGGTGGGAAGTGACAATAATGGATATGAAAGAACTACGGGTATCCATGGAATGGGAACACGGAACAAAAATGGAGAAAGATTGTTTGAATCTAGTCAGACCAAAAGAATATCACAGGAACACTGTTTCCCCACAAAGATATACACAAAGCAACATGGGTGTCTGCTACTGGAACAGCGAGAAACCAGAATGACCATCATCTCATCAGTGAACAGTGGAGATCTTTTGTTCTAGACATCAAGGTGCAGAGGGGAGAGGATGCTAACAGCGACCACTACCTTGTGAAAACTCGAATCAGGCTACGACTCAGGGCAAAAAAGAATAAGAACAAGCTAAAACCAAGATCGGATGTAGAACGCCTCAAGAACAACGAAGTAAAAACAATATTCAATGATTGTGTGAGAAAGAACATAGAAGAGCACATTGAAAAGAGGAAGATATCAAGAAAATCTGGGAACAGTAGAGGGTGGCATATGTGAATGCAACAGAGAAAGTACTTGGATACAGGAAAGACAAAAGTAAACATTGGATCAGCGAAAACACCTGGAAGTTGATAGATGAAAGAAAAGACATCAAAACGAAGATAGACAGCACAAGATCAGAACGAGTCAAGACAAGGATGAAGGAAAATTATAGGGAGACAGACAAAGCCGTCAAGAAAAGTGCGAGAAAGGAAACAAGAGGAGTGTATGGAAGAGATAGCTGAGCGAGCACAGAAAGCAGCCGAGAACAGGTGAAAGAAGGAACTGTACAGCATAGTGAAACAGCTGACAAGAAAAAAAATAAACAAATAGCAACGGTGAAGAGCAAAGATGGAGAGCTGCTGAAAAACAGAGAAGCGAGGCTTGCTTGATGGAGGGAACATTTTGAAGACGCTTCGGAACGGGAAGGCCCCTGGTGCAGATCAAATTACTACAGAAATGTTAAAGGCAGACCTTGATAAGAACAGTCAGGAATTGAAGCACACCTTTGACCAGATATGGAAGGAAGAAAATATGCCCAAAGAATGGATCAGCGGCCTAATCTGTTAAATTCACTAGAGAGGCAACCAGCAAGACTGCAGCAACTGAAGTGGAGCATTGCTGCCCCTACGCAAGTGAGTTAAAGCTAAATATGGATATTTCTATGCAAATGAGCTAATAAAAATTCATAAGTTGTATATTTAATGTACAGAGAAAGTTCAAATTGATTTTCTAATACATACTAAGTACCCACAGTTTTTTAATGCAAGTGCACATTATGACGTCATTGTTCTCTTCCATTCAAGGTAATAAATCACATCAAAAAGCACGTCAGCGCAAGGGCATATCCTATCTAATTTAAAATAAACAATGTATAATATTAAGGAGAATATTGTTAGAATTAATAAAATTCCTGCACAAATCCTATGAACTTTCTTAATCGATAAAAATTTTAGGAAACTTACACTGGACTGTGAATTTTTACCCTGTTTAAACTTAAAACTGAAAGGAATAGTAATTAAACAATTGCAGTACCGACATTTGTGCAGCAATATCTTGAATCCTTGGATATCTTGCGTCTATTTATATCTTGTTTTGGTAAAACAAAGTAAGGTATTCCCTTGTGCCGAAGCAATTTTGTTTATATTTATTACAAACTTGTGTAGTAGAGGTCGATGACGTCATTATATGACGTCATAATGTGTATTTGCTATCGCATGTCGCGGGTACCAAGAATGTATTAGAAAGCAAGTCTTAACATTTTCTGTGCGTTTGGTAGAGCAATTATGGAATTTAATTAGATATTTTGAATAGAAACCTCCATATGTAGCCTTAACTCACTTGCGTAGCCAGCAGAGCACTCAGCAGGATCATCATTGATTAATTTTTAGGCTGGAGTTGACCGCACACTGATGAGGAAAGAGCAGGTAGGGTTCAGGAGTGGGAGAGGGACTGTCAACCAGATCTTCATCCTTAGAAACATCTTAGAGCAAATCAACGAGTGGAATGCTATACTGTACATCCATTTTGAGGACTTTGAGAAAGCTTTTGACTCGGTGCACAGAGACAGCCTTTGAGTCATCCTAAAGAAATATATACGTAGAAAAATGATTATGATGGTCAAAGTCCTGTATGCCAGTTTTTAGTGCTCTGTGATTGATAACAACGAGACCACAGACCCTTTTCCTGTGATGACTGGTGTCAAACAAGGATGCTGCATATCAGGCTTCTTGTTCCTCCTAGTGGTAGACTGGGTGATGCAACAGACTATCAGAGGAAAGAGAACAGGAATTAGATGGGACTTCACCACTTTGCTCGAAGAACTCGACTTTCGGGACGACACTGTCCTATTGTCATCAGCTATTGACCATCTTCAGTCTATAACATCAAAACTGGAAGAAAACTCCGTAAAAGTTGGGTTGAAGCTGAATGCCAAGAAGTGCCAAGTGATGAAAATTTTAATTTAAAATAGCAAGCCGACGAGGTGGATAGCTTCACATATCTCGACACTAATGTCACCAAGGATGGAGGAGGAACTTCTGAAATCAGGAAGAGGATAGCACTGGGCGGTGCATCCTTCAGGATGCTAGCCAACATCTGGAATGCTACAGACATCAGCAGAAAAATAAAAAATATCCCTCTTTAAAAGTCTGATCTTCTTTGTATTATTATACGGATGTGAGACCTGGAAGCTTACCAAGACAGAGGAAAAGAAGATTGACGTCTTTCAGACCAAGTGCCTCAAAAGATCCTTATGGTCAGATGTCAGCAGCAATTACAAGACAAGACAGTTCTGGAGATGGCAGACGTAGAAAGCATCAGTGTCGAGGTGATGAGGAGGAGATGGAATTGGATCGGACATGTGCTTAGGAAGGATCTCACGGATGACTGTGTTGTGGCCCTCTGGTGGACGCCTGAAGGGAGAGGGAAGCGCGGTCGCCCCAAGAACAACATGGCGACGGCTGGTGGAGAGAAACAATGATGGCTGGCAATCCTAGAACACGGCACGCCGTGCAGCCTCAGACCGACCCCAGTGGAAAAGAGATGCACAGGCCTTGTGTGCCTCCTGGCAAGAAGAGAATTAAGGTTAAGGTAAGGGATAAACAAACGTTAACCATTTGCAAGAGACACATTTGCAAGTGGCTTGAAGAATCAGTTCTTTGTATTATATTTTTTCAACTTTGACGAAAACAGATATGTAAATGAAAAGAGATACATTTAAGTATACCTATGAATTTTGCTTTAACCTTTTGCTTTAGACATATTTGAACATTGCTCTGAATCCCTTTGCAACTGAATTGGAAAATCTCCTAAATAAGACCACCATTACTCGGCTATCGGACGTGAAGACTCGTGTGGGTCTTGTGCCACAGCAGTACCTGTTAATAATCACATGCACAATGTATTAATTATTTTGAAATTCATTTGCGACATTTTAAATCAAAATATTGTCATGAAATTTTAATTCAACCGGGTGGCAGTAAATACAAAACTTAATTTTAAATTAATCACCGTACACGGTGGCAGTAAATACAAAATTTACGATTTTGTTTTTACTGCAACACAGTAAATTCATAATTTACAGCATGAAAATATGTATATTTTTGCAGTATCACATTCACATTCTCATACCTTGGGCCTGTGTTAGAAAGACTCCTGAAGCGAACCTCCACAAAATCCCAACAGATCCTCCAACATGGAAATCCAAAGGATCCAACAAATTGTAATCGAACACGTTTCCCTGGAGGTGCCTAGAGAGTTTATAAAGTACGTTTGTAATTAAATAAGAGATATGTTATCCTTTAATTTATCCTTTTCACAATCTTATTTGTTTTAGAAAAAAAATGACACGTGTTTCCTTGTTTTTCGGTTGTAATTAAATCAGAAATAAATATCATAAGCTCCTTTAAGTTATTCTTTAAAAATTCTTATAATTATGTTAAATCGTATTTCACAGTAAGTTTACTGTAAATTTCCAGGTACAGTCCGCTCTAGAGGAGTAGCTCCCCTGTCCAAAGTACCCGGGTGTGTTAAACGCTCTCCAGTAATAAGTGGCAGATAAATCAGTAGATCCACAACCAGTTGCTACATTGTTGAGGATACATTTCATATCAATTTTTTATGGAATAAAATATTATGCCTTGAGATGAAATATTAGTAAAACTGATTAAATTAATATTCAGTATTTTTGACAAGGTTAGAATATCTGAACATATAAAAGTAGGGTATTCAATGTTTTGTAATTCAATATGGAATTTATTTTACAAGTGGGACAGGGTTTTTTTTTTTGGTATTTTCACTAATGTGAAGCACGAACAATATCAAAATATGCAGTCTCACGAGTGAAATAAGCTCTATACCTAACTTCAAATCACTTTATTTCTTTCGTGAAAAATTTTCTTTTCTTTTAGATTGAGACATAAGAGAAGTTTTTTTTTAAATCTTTTCCGAAATATTTATTTACTTCAATTGAGTTCAATTAGTATTGGCTTTAAAATTTGGAAATTATCATCCTACCAGAGTGCTTTGTATCTTGACAATACTGGCCAGACCAACCATCCGGGCACTTGCAGCTTTTACAATTCCTTGGATTCCTATAACCACCATTCTGACACTTGGACCATGTTAATCCTCCAGAGCATTTTCCTTCGAAAAAGATATAAATTTACATTTGAGGATTGGAAGGAATAGAGTATGCATTATATAATGAAAATTTGTAAACTGCCTATGAGTAAAAGTTTCAAAAGTTTACAATCAAATCAATTTACAATAAGGTTATGCTAAAAAATGGTGCTAAAGTAATTGAAGTGCAACATTTTTTGTGAACTTTGAACATTCAAAATGATCTATAAAGGTCTGTAAAATAAATAACACAATACTTGTTATTGTCAAAAATAGATAATATTCAAAGTATTGAGCTTGAAACGTAGACTCTAGCAATTTTTATTTGACAAACTTGTGGTCAAGTCTGATGTTGAAAAACGCTATACCTTGTCAGGAGTGCAGCAGAAAAAAAATGAAGAGTTACTAAAAACCTTTTGATTTTAAAATCTTAAAGACAATTAAGTCCAAAAAGAATTTTCAAAGTGTAAAACAATAACTGGTATACAATTCAAAACAAGGATGTTATTAATCAAAAGCAGCATAAATGAGAGTCAAGTACATGTATATTGTTAGGAGAGCAATATTTGATGCTTTGATCCACAGCATGAAAAAAAACTTTCATCAGTATATGATTGTTTGACTTTCATTTTTGGAAAATAAACACTCAGAACATTTTTACCAAAACAAATAATATCAATTTCTGGGTATGTCTAAATATCTATATTTCTATGAACAGGAATGCAACACATTTTTTGAAAGATTCAAGTTAATTACCTTCATGTGTTAGCATTATGAAAAATTGCTTAGTCATTGTTTTACCACTCGATGTTATCATCACATAATGAATTTTTGTGTTGTATGGTTTTAAGGAGGCTGGTGAGTCAACAAATTAATCCCAAATTAACCATCAGATTTAACTTATTTTTTAGATACGGTATCTTTAGCTGTCAACAATCATTTGACAAAGAAAAAATTCATACATTTTAGTTTTAAAATTTGATCATTTTTGTATATATTTATATAGAGCTCTCCTTTTAAAGGAAATTGAAATAGTCTAAAAATGGCTGCCACCCCAGCCTCTTTAACTTAAATCTTACAGAAGTCAAAGTGCAACAAAATTGTTTGATAATCATAAGTGATTATGTAAAGTAAGAATCAAGAAGTCATTTTTTACATGTACAAGATCAAGAGAAGAAAAGCATTTTGAAGCAAAGAACCTAAAGAAGTTTTCTTTTGTATTTTTGAAAGTCAAGTCTGTTGGATGTAGAAATATTTCTTTTCTTTTCAAATAGCTTTAGCAATAAAATTTCAGCGACAATGCATTTATGATAGAATTAGTGAAAAATGTGTTTAAGGTTGTTGATTTTTTACATTTCGAATTCAATTTTTTGGTCATAATTTTTTTTATTTGCTCAAATTGAAATTACCTTGACAATAGTGGTAGTTGATAGCTTTGATGTCATTAAATGATAAACCAATTCTTTGCCCCATTGTCCGTGTGTAATCTCTTCGTTTTGCGACAATCGTTTTCAACCCCCGTGACTTTGCAAAAGCCTGATAAATTGTAACAATATATATATATATATATATATATATATATATATATATATATATATATATATATATATATATATAATCCCATTCCAATCTATAACATTGTTTATCTCACAACTAACATTTTTTACCCACCCATTCAGGATAGTGCATGATTGACCCATAATCGTATGGTGCTCTGTACATGTAGCTCGCTCCAGGTTTTATCAAGAAGTTATGTAGCTTGCCACTTGGAATGTTTTGTGGTAATATAGATAGGAAGCTGTCTCTGTCTTGTCTGCTTTGCTGGTGCCACAATCCAAGGGCATGTCCTATTTCATGGAGTATTGTTCCTAGCTAAAGGGATAACGGTATTTTATTTACGAGAAATTGCTCTATTAATCTTTATTTAAAGGTGAGATACATGTGTATTCAAATATTATGTTAATTTGTTTTACAAAAATAATCAATTAATAACTAATTGGTGTCAATTTAGAAAAGAGAATCACGTTTAAAAGTGAATCAATCATTCAATTAAAATGGTATTCAAAACTTAAATAATAAACTTACATATTTACATTCATGTTGGAGGTTTATGTAGTTGATACCATTATATCTTCTTCCAATGAAAGACCAGCACCTATTTCAGAAAAAATCCTGTTTTTCAGCTTTTATTAGTTTTTTTTTCTAAAACTATACAAAAACAGTATAATTTGTCCAAACCGGATACCGCTTGTTCCATACCATTTGACCGGTTTAGACAGATTCCAGAGTGCAGAAGAGCTGCAGGAAAATATTTGAAATTTACTTTCATAGTTTTATTTACAACTACTTTTAGTATAATATATATTTAGGAAAAATATAATAAAATAGATGATAGCTCTCTTTCTGAAAGTATAATTATAATACTTGACAATGTATCTTATTTAATTACCATTGACAGAATATAAACCTGTAAATCAGACAATGTTTTGCTGTATAAGAGTAGTTTTAAACATTTTATTAGACTTTACAAATTGTTTTAACGACCTAGAATCGAAACTAAGATTTCCCTTTTCAGTTCAAATTTAGCAAAAAATTTTATAGCAACGTGTATTTAGCTTGTATTTGAAAAAAAACTGTTGTAAACCTGATGCATAAAACAATTTTGATATTAAAACTTGATTTATACCCTTGTGCGTTTTCCTGAAAGATAATGCCTGGTGCTGTCATTCTCTCTGTTTCTCTAAATGAAATACAGGTCTGCTGTTGCCAGGTCTTCAGAGCCCGTCGAACTAATGCTTCTGTAAACGTAACTGAATTAAGTTATTTTTTATTTTAATTCGCCTCGTTCAATATCAATATTTGATTATATAGCTAATAAATAATATCTAATTAAATACTTCCAAAAATCTAGAGAATTTTAGCGTTAAATATCTTGACGTTTTATTGAACGCTGAGTTTGTATTACGTAAGCGAGTATGTCCGAAACATTCTGTATTCATACGAGCGTTCAATGTCGAAAGCCCCGTTGTAAACAAAAAGTCGTCTGGTCAAATTCTTAAAGCTAAATTAAAAAAAGGAAGTGGCATCTAGGTAAGTTGTGTTTATTTTTTCACAAAAATGAAATTATTTATTAAAAATTTAGTACGTATAAGACCAATTAGAACCTACATAAGCAAATCATAACGCTCAGTAGGGTCATTGGAATGATGCGATATTGAACACTTACAGAACAGACATTAATTTGAATACCAATGCTAAAAAAACATTAATTTGAGGGTTTTTTAGTTGGAATAACTATTATAGATTATGAGGAAATGTTAGAAATATATAATAATGAGTTATTGAACTTATATTTGTGAATATTGGCACTCGTTGGCTGTACGAATGCACTCGCAAGCTCGTGCATTTGTACAGCCAACTTGTGCCAATATTCACAAATATAAGTTCAATAACCCTAATATTCTAGTTCAGAACAATCTTTATTATACAGTCATTTTATAGTCCCTATATAATCAATACAATGCAAACAGTTGGTAACACTACATATTCACCGGATTTGATGCCGTATTCACCGAAGGGTCGGTGCGCGTGCAGCGGCATTGTGACGTCACAATCAATATCTCAAAGAATACTCACTGTAAACAATGGTCGCAACGACCGCAGCCAGCTATGTATCTGAACAAAAATGTGTTTGACAAGCCTTTTTGCAGGATTATTTTAACCCATCTGGACGTCCTTTACATAGCAAAACTCGAAAAGGAAAACACAGATGTTACAAATTTTATCATGGACATTTTTTTGTTTTCAACGACGGAAGTTTGTAAATGAAAATGGTGTCGTCAGGCAGCCTTCAATTATGGATTGTTTCGGTGTTGAATATTATACAATTATAGCCTCTTGATGAGGTCAATCCCTAGATATATAGACCTTAGAGAAAGCATATCGACCAGGCACGAAGTGCGAGGTTATTATGTTTTCTCTAAGGTCTATATATCTAGGGATTGACCTCATCAAGAGGCTAAAATTGTTTATTATTTTTTATCAGTTCAAAGAAATTTCTTAAAATCCTTTTTTCTAATACTCAGTACCTTCTCATATAAGGCATTGTTATATCATATGCACTATGACTACACAGTAATGAATACCGGATGCAGTACCTGTTTTGAGAAACATCCAGTCTATAAAATACTAATGTGACGTCAGCACTATTGTTGCTTCACAGAAGAACGTTTCCAATTTTAGAAACAACAAGTTTTTTTTTTTATTTTTTAAAATAGAAACATCTAGTCCATACCATTTTTATACTTGATCATGTGATCTAGTTTAAGCCAATCAGAGCGTTGGAACAATATAGAAAAATAATAGTTTGTTATTCACCAGTAGCGGAACCTATGTATAATATTCAACACCTAAAGAGAACAGAATTGTTTTATTAGCCCCTTCACGGACTGCGGTACTACATTTTTGCAGTGCAAAATAATTTTTGGCTTAGTTTTTTTTTGAGAGAGAGAGATGATTAGATGACGTATCTTATATAAGAACAATATTTTGGGAATTTTCATTGGCTGAAACAACGTCACGTGGTATTCCTCCTTTTCTGATGTCGACGCGAAAGCGCATCCGCGGAAAATGATATCGCACGCCACAGAGTTCGGTTGCACTGAAGTTACGTAGAACGTCACGTCATAATATAAGAAGCATTTTTTCTAACCATTGTGACGTAATTCCAGCCAAGTCTGTTTAGTTAGGACTGTGTCAGTGCATTCACTTTGAGTAATTATATAATATAACTATTAAAGTAATATACGCCGTATGGATGCCGATTTGTACGTGAAACAAAATGATTAAATGATTTGAAACACATAAAGTGTAATGAAAAAATAATATTTCCACAAAATTTAACTATAAAACTCGTTGTAATAACAGAACAATAAAGCAATATCTGCAATCAAGAATTCAGTCTTTTCATGAATATTGATAAAGGAAGTGCGTAAACAGTAGGTCTAAATATAGACACGTATGTCCACGGGAAATTATAGACAACGAGGCACGTTGCATTTTGACAACGATTATTAATAAAAGGTTAATATGCGTCATAACAGAGTATAGATGGTTGATACTGATTACATTTAAAGATAAGTTATATTAATAGTAACACGCCATCCATGTCAAAAGTGAGTTGTATCTCAAAGGGCTTACCTCGTTTTCTTGACGCCGTGTTTGTTTATCAATCTAAAAGTAGCGACGGCGTCACGTGGTGGATTTACTTAAAAATAGACATTATTCTCCTTGCAGGATAATAAATAATTATAATTTGATAACTTTATAACGAATTTTATTTAAATGGTGTAATTTACAGCATTTTCGTAACTTTTATTGGTAAACAAAATATATAAATTTCCAGCCGTATTTTAAAATGGCGCACGTTATAGCGTATATTACTTTAAATCAAATCAAAAATAATAATGTCAACAAACTTGCGAGTCAGATCAAAAATTTTTTTTTCTTACTGTGTGCCGAAGAAGCAAGCTGTATCCGGTATTTGATGGGAAAACTCCACTTCTGGACATAATTAACTCGTCTTTTTTCGAATGGTGCATGTGTCTATAATGATCAAGAGAAAGGGAAAAAAAAAGAAAATAACTTTTATTTAAAGATCTTATTCTTTTTATTTAAAAGAGTCTGTTTAAATCTTACATAAATACAATGTAGTCAACTCTGCAAAACTACTTTTGTTTCATTAATAACCTTTACATCTATGTAATTGTGGTACTTCCGAAATTATGTGGGACGTCGCGGGTTCGAATCCCACTGTGGGATATGGAGACCGATTCTCCGGATGAGACCGTTTAAACCGAGGTCCAGTGGGTGCTGGCTTAAAAAATATCCCTTACTTCTCAATGGGCATAAGTACCAAATACAGGTTAATATTTGTAGCATTCCACCGGCAACTGGTGGCGTCTCCATTTCAGTGAAAAGTTCTCGTCAATCAAACAAACAAAATGGATGGGTAAAAACTAGTGTTGGCAACGAGTACCCGGTTAACCGGTTAACCGTCGAACGATGCGAGTATCGGTTAGTAAAACTGCTATTCGGTTACTCGGATAAAATGCATCTTATATGGTAAATAACTAAAAACTAAAATGTTAATTTGTTTATAAGCGTACAAATAAAGATTTCCCTAATTTTCTTTACCGATAGACTTAATGATCTATGGCTTCACTAATTTAAATACGATTGATTGGTTTTCACACTTAACTGATAGCTTAATTGGATTGCCAGCAGGTTATACAAGTTTTGAAGACCCAAGTTATAATTACCTCATTAAATAATTTAAAAAGATGCCGCCAAAGACATGTATAGCTCGGAAGTATTTTAAAAGAACAGCTGATTCTATACCTGTAAAATGTAATTAATGTGAATTGGAGTTATCGTGACTTCAAATTTCTAAATAATTATTCTCCTTGATCGTGACATATATCGGGGGTTGAAAAGTTAAACTGATGAACGCCATTGTAAAATAGCGTAAAATATTGAACATTTATTTTTCTTCTGATTCAATTAATTTTTTGATTATAATTATATTTAAAATTCAAGATATTGCGTGCGTGTTCTTTTTAAGTTTATAAATGAAGTTAATTCACAATACCTTTGTGTTTTATTAGAACCGATGAGTAAAAGATGAGATAAATGATACATATGAATAAATCTGAGTAACCGGGTACTCGATCGGAAGATTGAGCGAGTAACCGGTTACTAAAAATCGTCCGATTTGCCAACACTAGTAAAAACAAATGGAAAAAAATA